GAAACAACGAAGCTACCCATGTGGTGCAGAATGTTAGTTTTCATGAGAGTTCCTGTTTGTTTGTAATGCTTGTGGTCATATATCTGTCAATAGACATAGATGTAAATTTGCTTACGTGAGGGAAGAGCATACATATCAACTCTGAGAGGAAGAAAGAAAATTTACAATATTTCATCCAAACCTGCCTTCTGTACACTGAGTATTATTAGCACGTAACTGAAATGTCTGCAGGAAACCTCAGACCAATTAAAATGAGCCTTCAAAGTGCTAGAGAGGCCCACAAAAATCCACAAAGATACCCACACAACAGACTGCCGGCAATAGTCGAGAGACAGACCGAACTGACCTACTCTGGTGATGGGATGGCCAAACACCCTAATTGTTGTGCTAGAAACCTCATCCAACTACTGAGGGATCTGGATGCAGAGATCCATGACTAGGCCCCGGGTGGATCTCTGGGAGTCCAATTAGCGATAATGAGGAGGGTTTATATGAGCGAGAATTGTTGAGACCAAGGTTGGATAAAGCACAGGGACAAATAGCCAAATGAATGGAAACACATGAACTATGAACCAATGGCTGAGGGGTCCCCACTGGATCAGGCCCTCTGAATGGGTGAGACAGTTGATTGGCTTGATCTGTTTGGGAGGCATCCAGGCAGTGGGACCAGATCTTGTGCTCATTGCATGAGTTGGCTGTTTGAAACCTGGGGCCTATGCAGGATTGTTTGGCTCGGCCTGGGAGGAGGGGACTAGACCTACCTGGACTGAGTCTACCAGGTTGACCTCAGTCTGTGGGGAAGGCTTTGCCCTGGAGGAGAAGGGAATTGGGGGGAGGTTGGGGGGAAGGTGAGGGGGACGGGAGGGGGGAGAACAAGGGAATCCGTGGCTGATATGTAGAACTGAATTGTATTGCAAAATAAATTAAAATAAATTAAAAAAATAAATAAATAAAATGAGCCTTCAACCAACTGCTCAACACACACAATCATTTTTCTTCCTTCTTCCCATCCCTAAGTAAGTAAATAAATATAATGAAATAAAAGCAACATCCATAAACCCTGTAAGTGTGTGAGATCCAGGTGCCATCATATAGAACACAGACAAAAATAAAGTTGGTAATAAAAGCTGTATTGGTGCCCCAGGGTCAGAAGCCTGCTGCTGGGGATGGGGTCTTGGTTTAATCTCACAGTGCCTCATTTTCTGGCCCATCCAGGACTGGCAAGTCAGGCCCAGATTTTGTCTGTGCATTGTGCAGTTTCTCACAAGGTCTGGGCACTTGCTCGGCCTCTTCCCAGCTCCTCCTTTTCTCGTCAAGACTGAAGCTGCCCAGTGACCAGCCTTCTTTTCTGCATCTTGGCACAGGGGGCTGGTCTATTGTAGGATAAAAGTGGAATTCTCTGCTGTCTACAGGGCTCTCCCCAGGGAACAGAGCATGAAACCCAAACTTATATAAAATCATATCCTGTTTGCAAATACCATATTCCCTCTGCTTCTCACTAATCGGGTCCCATAAACCCCAGCACAGCTTGAGAGTCCATTCCTCATCTAAACAAATGCCATAAGCCCCTTTATACTTTTACAACCATGTCAAAAAATAATATTGCCTGCCAATAGTGATGTGATTGGAGTTGCCTCCTCTGAGCCATAAAAGAAGCGCAGAGTCTGTTATCAATTTCTCTAAGTGTACCGGGGGAATTATGGGTCGATTCAGTTCCAAGTTATAAATGACAACTCAAAAGCCACAGAAGCGTTTGAAGCTGGGAGCTGATGACGACATTATCATAAAAGCCTGCTCGTCCTTGCGTTTGTGGTTTTTTTTCTTTTTTCTTTTGGCCTATCAAGTGAAGAGGGTAAAATAAGGCTGAGAAATGACTTCAAGATTTCTTCACACAGCAGTAGGTCAGATGGCCAGGAAAATAATCACTATTTTTAGTGATGTACCCCAAGGAGAGAACTAACATGGTCTTGCTCGGGCTATTGTTGCCAGAGTCTCCTAATGATCTCTTTCACTATACAATGGTCAAGGCTCAGATTTGGCAGTACACTCTTTCAAATGGTGGGTTCTCTTGCAGTGGCATTACTTCATAATTAGAAATGAGTCATGCCCTGGTAACTAAGAGAATGAGACTCCAACACAAAGAAGTTTGGAAGCCCGACACTGTCGCTCCAAACAGTTCTGGAGGGTACATTTTAAAGGATCCGAAACACTGCTTGCCCATGAGCTGCCTGACCAAGAATCCAATTACCACAAGCAATTCTAGGGGAAAATCTAATAAGAAGCAGAGGTTTTCTATTTCATAATGTCCCAGGTCATCTCCTCAAAAGCCAATTAATCCATCAGCATTCAGTAGCTGCACATTAAACCCAGAAAGAATGAAGCTCTATGTTCAAAGCAATGACAGTTTACATTAAGGATTGGAAATCACGGAGTACTTTTGAATGGAAAGCAATGGGTCTATCTTAGATAATTTGAACCAGAGGAGTGTTTTGAGACAAAAGCAATTACCAAATGATTCCAAACCTCCATGGTGCATCCATACCTCTAACCTGGACTACTCCGAGTTCATACTGGCTGCCTCTTGCATATGTTATGTCTGTGGTTGTCCTGAAGCTGAAAATATAGGCTGGTTCAAATCCAAAGGACCCAGAGTTATTCCTAGGGCTGTATCCACACTAAAAATCTAAGGAAGCAAGATGGCTCAGGTATGGTCAAGAATATGACTTGATTCGTTTAAATAACAATAATAATTAATAATTGCAGGCCCAAGATGGCTCATTAGGCAAAAACACTTTTGGGAAACCCTGATGACCTCAATTTAAGCTCCAGAATTGATAGTGAAAGGAGAGAATCAAGTCCTCAAAGTTTTGCTGACTTCCACAACCCATATACACACAAATAACAGACAAAAATTTAAATATAACTGCACAAACACACAAAACTACTGAACCATATAAGTTTGCCATAGCATCGTCAAGTTAGAAGCCTGGCCCTGCTATATGTGTGCACACATGCATACACACACATGCATACACACACATGCATACACACACATACACACACAAAAAAAAAAAAAAAAAAAAAAAAAAAAAACATTTACCTGGGCCTACCCAGGAGACAGAGGAAAATGTGATAATTAAATGTCCTTCTCAAGTCCTCTCCAACCTTCTCCAGTGCTGGTAAGGTCTCCTGACCCACGTGTCCTCCCGCCTCTGCCCGTACTATCATTACCCTCCAGCACTGCTGCCACCATCCTGATCAGGGCTATGTCCAGGATAATAATAAGGAGGTTGTCTGTGGCCCAGTTTGCTTCATGTTGGGTATACAGAGCCAGCAGGAGCAGTTACTACTCATTCTTTAGGTCCTTAGAGAGTTACTGAAGTCATTCTAGCTGAAGATTAAGTTAACTTGGTATGGGTTTAGTGGGATGCACTCTTTCTCTAGAACAGCCCCTCGGGATAGTAGAACATACTGGCAAAGGCAATGAAAGCCGTTTCCAAAGTCATTCATCCTCTGCTTTTCAGAGTTGTCCAGCGGGCTCCCAGCACCACAGGGAGTTTGCTACAACCAGCCAGGACTAAAGTGGGATGATGACTGTTTTGTGTCAAGGATCAAACAGCAAAAGTCGGTGGTGAGCTGTTAAGAAAGGGGCCACTTCAGGTACCATGAGGCTGGAGGGTGGAGTACAGAGTCAGCGGCCATCTGTTAATGATGAAGCCCATGGAAGAATTCGAAAAGCTGCTCCACAGTATCTGCATGGGAGTGTGCACATTAGTACTTCTAGCACTTCACCACCGGCTGTGTGATTTTAAGAACTTCACGTCACTTCTCCAGAAACTCAATTTCTCACCCTCCACACAGGGTCTCATTAATAATTAATGTGTATGGGCTAGAAAGACGACTGGGTTACTAAGAGCACTTGCTGCTGAGGACCTGGGTTCAATTCCCAACACCCACAAGGTGGCTCACAACTGTGTGTTACTCCAGTTCCAAGGGACCTGATGCTTTATTCGGCCTTTTCGGGTGCTAGGCATGCATGTGATGCTGGTCATGTGTGCGGGGACAACACGATACACGCTGTTAAAAATGACTTTACATTTTCCTGGCTTCCCAAAACTCAGTTGTGATAAACTGTCCAGTCCAAATGAATATTGATTAGTGTTGGCATTTTATTTCCAGAGAGGCAAGATCAGGGAACAGGAAGTGATTCCTAAGCTAGGCATCATTAAAATTAAAACATAAACAGAAATTTATGGAAATTTTCTATATAAGACTTAGCAAAGAATTGTCAAAAACATGATTTTTTTTCTCTCTTCAAAATCTACAAATTTTCCTTGATTTAAATGCCTTAGTCCCTGGAAACCTGACCTAGAGTTATTCTGTCCCAACATGACTTGGCACTTTCTGTTACAGAATGAAGGTTTGTTACTGGTAAGGATTAACTTTAAATAGATTGCAGGCTATAGGGTTTGTTCTAATCATCCACAAAAATGTAGACATTTTTCTTCATGTGTTGCTTCATCTGAACAAATCTGTCCTTTAAATGTGGTATAAATATCCTGGGTCAAAAGTCTTTGTTAATTATTGAAGACAAAAGCATCCTCGGGGGGCTCACAATATGCCCCATAATGCAAAGCACTTTGTGTAACTTGTTGCATTTTCACCAGCAATATAATGTATGTGCACAGCCGGTGAAATTCCACAGAAAACGGAGCTCTGCTGCAAAATTACTTCAACGTCTCTCCTGGGAATGTCTAACCAAGCCAGTCTCAGGGAATGTGTGTCTTGTCACACAACTTGAATGGAAAGGCCTCTCATTTGGTATAATTCTATGTTGTCATCATCTCGAAATCCATAAATCTGTTTTGAACAGGAAACTCCAGATTTGGCAACAAGCTCAGCGGGTCACATAGCCCTTTCTGCAAGGCAGTCCTCAGAAATCAAGGGAGAGTTTTTATAAGTTCATGTAATTTTAAAAGCAGTAACCAATTTATACTTACCCCAAGTCCACCACAAGGCAATGAGGAAAAGAACTTTCGCGAATCATCACCTGCACAGCGTGAAGATAAGAAACACAAACGTTATGAATGGACAGTTCCTACTCTTTGAGTATTTATCAACATACAGTATGCCATATGTATTCCTTAATAGAAAACTAATGAAAATTTAGACCAATCAGAGTTAATTTTCAGAACATACTGCTTGTTTACACATGTATACAGGACAAACTCAAAGCAAATGAAAACAGAAAACACACACATACACACAGAGGGAACTGGTTATCTCACAAGAACAAGCACATGTAAATGAAATTTGGCTTAAAAATTGGCTTGTTTATGGTACAAAAATTCTTCAAATCATGATTCCCAAGGGGCCTTTTGCAGTCCCAAGTGAAGATGCTGGCCTGAGCATCAGCTAAAACTTCTCCCTACTTCTTTGCCTAGAGCAGTTCCCCCCATACTTCCAGGATGTGCTTGACCTCCATTCCCTTCTGACTCTCCTTTGCATAAGCCCTCACTGGGTGGGACACAGTGAAGTCAGGGTGAAGGCAAAGGCAGGGTAGGGATGTATATCAGCCTGCCCAGCCCATTTCACCTTCAGAGCATTTGGAAATGCACTCTGCATTCCTCAGAAAGAAAACAATTTTGGTTTTTGTTTGTTTGTTTTTGTTTCTGTTTTTGATATAGAATCTCATTATGTATTGCTGCCTGGTGTAACTCACTCTGTAGCCCAAGGTGCCCTTGAACTCCCAGCAATCCCCCTTCCCCAGTCTCTAAAGCATTGAACCACCACAACAAGCTCAAAAGAATTTTAAAACTAATGCAGCAATACTGTTCATTATCACTTAAAAAATTGCAACTTATGGAAAGTAACTCTGTGATCTACTGAGTTTATTTTCCAATGGGGTGGATGGTTCAAGCCATAAGGTTTATGAAAATATGCACTGTCATTAAAAAAGTTTAAATACAGTACTGGGTGGTGGTGGAACACGCCTTTAATCCCAGCACTCAGGAGGCAGTGCCAGCAGATCTCTGTGAGTTCGAGGCCAGCCTAGTCTACAGAGCTAGATCCAGGACAGGCACCAAAACTACACAGAGAAAACCTGTCTTGAAAAAATTTTTTAAAAAAGTTCAAATATAGTTTCTAAAACGTCAGTCAATTTTTTCTATGAATTTATTATTTTATTTGTATGTGTTTGGTCAGGATATATGTATGGGCACCACCTGTGTGTTTAGGATTCCCTGGAACTGGAGTTACAGGTAGTCATGAGACATCATATGGGTGCTGGGAATCTAAACTGGGTTTTCCGCAAGAATGGCCAGTGCTCTCTAATCACTTAGTGACCCCTCCAGAACCAGGAACTTAGTCCTAGGAATGTGTGTGTATATTTACATATCTCAGTCTACCTAAGGAATAAGTAAGATCAAGTACATCAGAGGCCTCTCCATTGTTTGCAAATTCTTAAAAACATAACACAATAATAAGGATAATATCATTTGGGGTGGTCTATTGGTATAAACACAAACAATGTCAAATTTAACATATATCCTGAAATATTAATTGTGATTATTTCCTGGAATTAAGGTAGGGTGCTCAGTATCATTGGTGGAACCAGATACAAACTTCCACCTCATCTACGCTCTGCTGATGATCAATGAAAAGCCAATTAAAACTGAAAAGAGGTTTGTGGTTTAAGTCTAAAGAGACTGTACTGTCACAGAAGAAAGTTTATTTTAAAAGCAATAAATTTTATGAGTTGATTTTTAATACAACTGACATGGAAAATTATAAAGAAAACTCATGCATAAATGAAAACATCCAAGTAGGTAGAGACATTCCCTCTTAATAAACAAAAAAATTGAGGTGTAGCTCAATGACAGAGCACTTGCCTAGAATACACAAAGCCTTGGGTTGATATAATAGTACTAAAATTGGAATACTGGCACCAAGAAATGACACTTGAAAACAAAACACAGTAGGAAACTTAGGGACAAGAGAGATGGCTTAGTGGGATGCAAACCATGATAACCTGAGTCCAGGACTCCGAAGGAGGAAACAGACTCTTGAAATCTGTTCTCTGATCACAGTGCCATTGCACAAAATTACTGACACATGAACAAGTGAGCACACACACACAAAAATAAATAAATAAATACTTCTGCATAACACTGCAGAAGGGTAAAATTTTTTAATATTGTTATTATTAACAAGGGGATTGATGAATCCCTGAGTATTTTGCAAGAGTAGATCCATATCTCAAATGTGAATTAAAAACAGTTTTAATATCTGAACTCATTATCTATGAGCAAGTAATAGAGGTAAAGAAACTGTTGTAATGCAATAAAGTATTTTAAAGAAGTAATGTAAAAATTCACTAAACTCTAAGGTAATAAGGGAAATAAATTTATTTAATGATGTTTAAACCTTATTTAGTTATATGATAATAAAAATAAAATAAGTAATTGATAATTTTAATTTAGTTGTGTGAAAGAAATTTACTTTACTTACTGAAATTATTGTTTGATAGCACTATATTAACTTATCAGTGGACTGAAATCTGACTAGCCAGGAGGTAATCGAAAATAGCAATAATAATGAATGAGACATTAATGCCATAGAAAATCTTCTACTAGAAACTAATGAAGGTAATATTTTCAAAGTATCATCATATAAGGCTCAGAGTATCTAAGTAGATAAATGGGTATCACAATAAAATCTAATTATTTTGTAATCTATAGATGTCTTTTAAGATACAAAGACTGATTGGTCTGGTCATATTGAATTTTTATTTAAATCTTCCTTCTAATCCTAAAACATAATCATCCAGAGCCTAGTATCAATTTTAAGTTAGAAGTGACACCTCCCATTTTGTTGGGAAGGATTGAAGTCCAAAAGTTGCATGGGTCTGAACAGGATGGATGAAGTAGACAGAGCATCTTGAGTCTGAGTTTCTACAAACAGAATAGCATCATTCTGGTCTATTGGAAACAAAAGAATTACAAACTACAATAACCCAAATTCCACAAAATATCTAATGCAACCTTTTAAGAGAACCTGGTAATCTACTGAGAGCTGGAACTGAAGAAGATCAGCTATACTTCTCATTCTCCAGACAAGCTCAAGGAGTTCTGAGTGTTCAACATTGACTATAGTGGCTGACCCAAAGGCTTCAGAGAATGTAGCAGCCCTGTGCTTCTGCACTAGGGTAGCCCATACTGAAAGTGTCGCCTTCATCAACATAGTTATCTGCAATTCGTAAATAAAGTATCATGTTGTCAAAGTTCAAAACTCACTTCATTAATAAATGTCTTTGTTCTTCAGGTGTGGGATGGTGGTTGCTAAGGAGGACTGCATACATCAAATCATGCTCACTAATGTTTACAGCCTGAGCAATCCTAGTCTGTTCCAATGAAGCCCCAAAGCAGTCAGTTTAATGGCTGCCTTGATTACACTCTGGAGCACATTTTCCAAAAATAGGGAAGGTTGAGCTTCTACCTTTATCAAATTAAAAGACAGACATGTCTCGGCTTAAAGACTTGAATAGAGTGTTTGTTCAAAGTATGATCTTACCCAAATACAAAGACCTAGGTATGGTGGCAGGCTCTTGAGATGCTGAGGAGGGAGACCCATGAGCTCAAAGCCAACCTGAGCCACGTACACAGAACCAAGAAAAAGAAGAAAAAGTATTTAAACTATAGACATTTAAATTGACTTATTTGTATTTGTGTGTGTGTGTTATACATGAATTTAGTTTTACTAAATAAATTGCTTACCAGAACCAACTTTGAGCAATATTCTAAAAATTGAAGAATTTCTTTATTTTCTTTCTGCTTAGTTCTCCCAAACTGCCAGTTCTGTCCTGATCCACACACAGGCAGGGACACAGACTCACTAGTAAAGGCATGTACTCATTAGAGAGACTTGCCACTCATTTCAGAAGGCCTGGGATGTGTGCGTAACTGCTAACCTCTCTTTACTGCTTTCCATGATGCTTCCTATATGCAGCATACACTTGCTCTAAACTACTGAGGGACAGTTACCTTAAGTTATTTTGAAATAATGTTGAATTAGGTAAGAGAATTTGATAATTTAAGATTGATTCAATAGATTCCTTCAAAGAAAAGAGGTAAGTTTAAAATGTTTATTTTAAGTTAAATCTGTAAAATGCAATTATTTCAGCATATGTTTCCAAGTTAGGTATTGTTATTCAATTATAAGAGGTTATCAATAAAATACAACTTTCTACTACTGTTTTGCACTAATATTTTCCAAAAATGTATTTTCAAGTATCCATATTAAATCTTGTTGCTTAAATTTTATTTTAAAATATGATAAAGTTTTAGAAAAAATTCATCTGTTTCATTGAAACAAATGATAATAGTTAGTTTTCTACTTGCTGCATTTACTGTAATATTTAGTTTTCAGAAGTACAGCATATATTTAATGGATTACATTAAGACCTCCAGTTTTCATTTAAATAAGGTACTCTGCTATATCCATGTGTTGAGCTCAGAAATAAGAAGTGAAAGATAGAAAGCAAAAGATAAGTGTAAAAGAAATTTTCATAAAGGATGTGAAAAGGTCTTATGATCTTCCCATTTAAAAAGATGAGCAAACAAATTTGGTAACTCAAATATTTCTACATGTGAAAACATACCATATAACTGAGGCTCAAATAAAAGTTAGTTTAAAAATAAGCATTACACACTCTGGGGTGTAATTTTGTAATGCAGAATTCTCCTGATCTGCATTGGCTTCTATCTTACTCAACTCATTCCAGGCAGCAACTGCTGGAAAAATTGATTTTTTTTTTTTTGTCACACTGCTTGCCAAGTATTGTGAGCTGACACCAGCAGTGACTAATGGCAGTGCTGGAATGTGCTGTTCTCAGTAGAATGGAGGCCTGAACAGACCTAGGAGTGTCCTGGAGTCCAGCTTCTGCCCGTCCAGGGGGCTGGTGCCATACAACAGTGAGTGATGTTCAGAATGAACAAGCTGTATTTCCTCCAGGCTGGCTTTTCGACCTTGAATTCTCTGAAAGAAAACAACAACAACTTACAGTCTTCCACTGGCAGCACTCAGAAGAAATGAGACCTCGAGTCACATTTAAGATGATTAATAACCGGCTCAGATTCATCATGCAAGAATGTGACATAGATTTTCTTGGTAAAGTACCATAATAAAAATTGGAAAATGAGCAGATGCAAGATTCAGATAAATAGGCATCTGATGACATAAAGGTTATTCCTTTCCGGCATAAAAATAAACTTATACCAAAGAAATTAGCAATCGACTCTTCTGTATAAAAGTGTCTGCTTAAGAACAAATAGAGGTTACTGCTTGTATAATAAGCAACTTTATTATTCTCTGTGTTACACTGGCCTGAAGAAGATGCCGGAAGGGAGATGAGATTAACACCACTAAAGTTGACTGCACTGGATTTTCAATATCGCAAACATGGCAATTATTTCATGCATGTGCCCTTCATGGTAGCTGTACTCTAGACCAACATTTATCAAAGTGTACCCAAAGGATACATACAGCTCAGGGTCTGATTATCAATGGTCTGTACTGAGTCAGTGTAGAAATTTATAGTTAATATTTAGAAACTTACAAAACAATTTGATAGACTGACTAAATGTTTTATACTCAGGCTCCAGAGAAAATTTCACTCATTCTAACAAAGAACTGAGCTCATAATTGTCCAAACTCTGCATTATATTAAATCTCAGTTAGCCAACATGTGGTCTTCCCGGCTACATTCCTCTGTTAATACGTCCTTGAGTCTGATAACAGTCATTCTGACATACGGTGTTAGTTCACCTCCACTTCTGAAAACTGCGGTGCTTCCTAAAACTACACAGACAACATTAATGCTACACTTAGAATACGTGACCACAAGCAAGCAGTGAGTTAACACTGAGGCACAGAACTTTGGTGAGATTCAAAAAGAATCTGTTCTTCCACGCTGCAGAGGAAGAAAGAAGCACCAGGTAAATTGGAAGAGCATCTCCCTAGGGACCAGGACAATCCCATCCTCAGCCTCCTGGGTGTAAGGGGATGAGGCTGTAGGCAGGCCATTCAGTGTTGATACATGGTTCACTGAGAGGGCAGACTGGAGAAACGCTGCCTAGTGACCCTCACATTTTACTGTGCAGGAGGCAGAGCTGTGCCTGTCATTAAAATAAATGATCAGGTCACAGTTAGAGAGGAATGGTGGGGCCACAGAGGAAGAGAATGATGGGAAGCAGAAGGCTCTCAAGACCACCTTCATGTCCCAAATAAACAAGCAAATACTTCAGGAATTTTCTTTGCCATAACATTGAAGTTCCCTGTTCTTGACACTATCATTCAGCATTGTGTAAATCCAATTTATAGTTCTAGAAAACTATACTTTAGAAGGATATACTTTAGAGAAATTATTCCTAAGTAAGATGAGAATTCTAATATGAAAGATTAAGAAAAATTTGGTAATGATTAGACTCTGCTCTGATCAAGTAACAAACATCCCGTAGAAGTCAGTGAATGGCTGATAAACAAGAGATTTGGAAATGTTTGTGAAAGACCAAGATGATGAAATAATTAGAACAACTAGTAAAGGTAAAATGAGTAAGAGAGAGTTGAAAGTCAAGAGCTCAGAGACAAAGTTTAACTAGAAGATTTCAGAGGTGCAAAGTCCCCCACTGAAATCCTGGTTACTCCATGGTTTGGGTCATCTAAAACTAGAATGAGCAGAGGTCAGGAAACAGGCAGAAAGCCAATCCTAGTCACGCGATGATGGCCACTTAGAAAGGAAACAGCAGCCTTCCATAGACACATATGATACATGTGGATACAGCAAAGCACCAACACATTAAATAATGTTAACCATTTCTATGGTTTTTAGATTATTGGAGATTGAACCCAAGACCTGTACACTAGGCAAGCACTCTATCACTGAGCTCCATCCACAGCACTCTTTGTACACTATATTTTGAGCCTAGCTCTTACTAAGCTGCCTAGCATGGCCTTGAACTTGCAAAACTCTTGCCTCAGCCTGGGATTACAGGCTGCACTACCAGGCCATGCTAACAAAGTCAATTCTATAGCTGATATTTAGACTAATGTTTTGAATATTATACTATCCTAAACCCTTATCATGTTCCCCCCTCTCCTTTCCTATTAAGACTTTCTCAGGTCTACACTGAATTTTGCCTATGATATAAAATGAAACACCATCAATAGTGTTTTTATAGCTAGTCAAATACATGTTCATACTATGCACTCCATGCTTGCTTCAAATATTTTCCTTATTCTTCAGTGATTCAAATGGAATTCTATTTGAATGCCCAGCCATGTGCCAAACAATAATCTGTAACAGGATTCAGGATTCATAGTAGTAGTAGTAGACAGTCACTGGTAGCAGACAGTTACTCAAGAGATGGCAATCATAAAAGGATACCTACTGAATTGCACTTGGATAAGACTGAGGCAGTAAGGAAGTAGCTGTGCAGTTCTACATGACTTATTTTGAGTTTCTACTTCTATCTCCGAATTTATCCTTGCTTCATTATTAAAATGTACGACTGTTTATATTTTCATTTTGATAACTCAATAGACACAAACATTGGATCTATCATCTATCTATCTATCTATCTATCTATCTATCTATCTATCTATCTACCTATTATCTATCTATCTCTTTATCATCTATCTACATTGTTTGAATAATAATTGTATTCAATATAAGGAAGTAACCATTCTTTTCCTGTATTGTGTGTTATTTGAGACAGGATCTCAGCCTGACCCCAAAGTCACCATCCTCCTGCCTCAGCTTTATGGGTTCTGGGGACACAGACTTTGTTTTTGTAGCTGCTAGAGAGAAAGCAGCAGTAGAAGCCAGCTGCTGACAGGCCTCTCCCGCTCCAGAAGAACGAGGAGAAAGCATGGTTTGAGACTTTTGTCTTCCTGTGGGAGCTCAGACAGCTGAGTTAAGAGATCCTCAATTGCAAATGTGTTCTTTCTCAGCACCATTGGTGTGGCTCTGGCTCACCCTACTCTTACCTATGCCTTGCACTAGTCACATTCAACTTTCCTCACACCGATATCTAATATTTCTCATTCTAATTTAGTCTTTCACTAGTTTAGGCTTAACTACAGATATTTTTATCTCATTCCTTCTCCTTCTATTTCCCGTGTGCCCTTTATTCTTCATTTTTCCCCCAAGATGCTCCCAAGAGTCAAAGGTCAAGAGCATAATGAATCACAAAATGGGACAAAGTGCTCTGTTCATCTTAATTTAGGGAGATGGTTTCCATTCTCAGAAATAATAATTCTGAAGGATGGTTATGTAAACTCATCTATGATATTCTGACCCAAAGTATTTTTGAGAATTCTGAGCATATTGGGACATTTAATGCATTTAAAAGATATGGTTTATCTGGGGAGCTCCTCTGTGGTACCCAGATACAGGCCTTGGATCTTTGTCTATAGAGCGAGACAATAAGTACTTATATCTCTTCTAATGTCTTCCTAGTAAGAAACACAGTGAGGTAACCTGTGTTTATTCCTCCTTTGTCATTCTTTGTGTGTTGCCTTCAATCAGTGTCTACTGAAAATCACGAAGGAGCCAAGGCTTAATGAGTACTTGCCCTGTGATGATGTGAATGCTCAGATCAACACAGATCCAAGATGGTTTCCATTCAGATTGGAAGTTAGACTAAAGTCATGTAAAATTACTATATCATTAAGTCTCACAATGCACCATGGTTCTTTCCTAAAGAAATAGTCTTTCTGAAATAAAGCCCCTTAATACAACATGATTATAGAAAGAATGTTCTGAACACGATCTACAAAGTCATACTGTGACAGGATAAAACATGGCCTGCCCACACCCACCCACACACAGAGTGCACACACGGTATAGATTCATGTTTTTTTCTGCCAAGGAACAGAGAAAAAAGGAAACAGTCTATTCCTTCCTCTCCTGTGTTCAAAGCCTGGATTGAGGCCAGTGTCCTAATCAGTTCTCATTGGCCCTGGAGGAATCAGAACCTTTTGTAAAATATAATAAAGGGCATAAAATCATGATAAAATGCATGAAAAAGCAGTGCCTTTGGTTAGGGAACTAGAAATAATTTGGCAGAACAGATGGATTGCATTGGTTTGGTATTATTGAGGACATGAAAGGGCTCATTCTGTGGCGGTTCCAAACGAAGAGAAAATGTCCAACTTAAATTTGACAAGTCAAAGTACCTGCCTTTACTGGGGAGGGGGGAACTCCATTTTCTTTAATCATTTTCAAAGTAGTGACATATTAGGCAAAATTGTCTACTGAAGTGTCTCAATTTCTAAGATTTCCTCCATTATTTGTAAGTAGAAGGATGTGTTTATATGTTTTTTTTTTTTTCCCTCAGAGCTGCAAACAGTCAGAGTGCATGTGGGGGATGGACGTTAAGGAACTTGTTATTACCAAAGTTGCCCTCTGCAGCATATGCAATATTTAACAGCTTGAGCATGCTCCATTGATTATTCTTCATACACCGTTTTCTCGGGACACAGAAGAAGCATGCTCTTATGACTCATGCACAAGTTTATCTCTTTTAGCATTCTAGGCTGCAATCAATTGTCTAACTACTGCAGGCAAGACTGTCTGTAAGTCCTTCAGCTCCTTCACTCCCTCACGTACAGTTCTCCGGCAGTCACAATTTTCCTCAGAGTTTAGAATGTAGAGTGAGGTAAGGAAGAAAGCGCTGAGCAGGCATCCGTGCAGGTTGGTGGTTCTTTCTACTGACCACAGGGGAGCAGAGCAGATTGTAACTAGGAGCCCGAATCCCAGCCCTAACTCTCCCATGTCATGCAGAACAACAGCAACCCATGCGGCATCTCCATTGCCCTTTGTTTCTTTATGTACAAAACAAAGGTTTGAATAAACTATTTTAAAGTTTACATTCAGCATTCAATGATAAGATCCTGTGTGAAAACAATAAAACGTATGCATCTAAAACTTAAAACACACTTCACTGTGGTTTATGAATTTGCCTTGGGGAAGAAAA